TTTTTTTGCTCCATTTCTGGAAGCAGCAAAAAAGGCAAACGGGATTCTAGAAGAGGCGAGAGCTGAATAGCTCTGTTGCCTTAGTACAGACAAAGCTTGAAATCCCTTTGCAGGTGGGCACTCTGCATTTTACCAAATGTATTAACTAACACAAAACTAGTTACACTGAAAACTACATGAAAATAAAAATTTGAAGCAATGTGATATATAGACAGTTTTGACTCCCATTAGCTTGGATTAACTCTCATACCAGTACATTAATCGCTGAACTTGTAAACAGGGCCTAATGAAGGCAATAAAGTGTTGGGAGAAGAAAGTATTTTTGTCCTATTTTATAGGTGGGAGATTAAACCAGTGGAAAATAACCATCATATCCCTCAGACAGAATAGGTAAAACCTGTTTCAGGCCTTGAGGACTGAGATCCTTCCTGGTGGCCAGCCTGACCTGTGATTAATCCCAGATGTCAAGAGGTTGGATGTGATGATCCTTGTAGGTCCCTTCCAGCTCAGGATATTCTGATTCTATGTGCGCAGTACATGATTGAACCATGTAACAAATGGGGACATAGTACTAAGGTTCACCACTAACCCACAAAATTGATCTGATGGTTTTCTGAAGGTTGTGGGAAACAAAAGAAACAAACTTGGAAACTGATCTCCAATGTCTCAAGCCTCAGTGTGTCCAGATAAGACCATTTCTTCTTTTTCTTGAAATTTTCAGCTGAATTGACAATTTGATAATTATTTGTTCTTCTTTTTTTTTTCTGTGTCTCTATCAAATTTTACTGCTAATTAATAGTTAAGGGCACCTATGCATTTGATGTAGATAACTCTATACAAAATAAGTGCCTGTATTAAAATGAGACGTGGGGCAGCAGCAATGCCAGCACACCTTGAACAAAACAAATGGTGCAAACTAAGATGCTGAGCAGCATATTTGCCTATTGTTGACAGCAGCAAGGGAAAACCTGGAAATAGCAATGAGTAAATGAACAACTTCGATAGCTTAGAGAAACAAATTGACTTAAAGATTCATAGATACATTTTTTTTTTTTTGCTATACTGGACAATGAAAATGAATGTCATATGCAAATGCTATTTTCTAGTTGAAATATATTTGTGCCTATGAACATGTTTTGTATAATAGTAACACTTTTTCAGTTCTGCAATAGTTAATAAGTTCAGATATTGATGCACAATTCATCGCAAAAAGATTGCACTCCTTAATTACATTCTTGTGGGGGTGTAGATACAAAGGGATAAAGGTCTTATCTTAGAGTATCTATTTCCCCACAGGGAAGAGGATTGTACTGTTCTCCAATACACGTACATTCACAGATGTATTAAAGCTGTATCACACTGAGAAAAGTAGTATCATAAATATTTCAGTAGAAAATTGCATTCATAACAGAAATAATGCCAGTACAACCACTGCATGTGTGCCAGACTCCACTGACAACAGGTTTTTCCTCATTCCCATGATAACAACATCAATAATCATGAAATCCTTTGGAACTAATGTGGCATATGAGTGTAATTCTGAAGGACAATCACCTCACTGGCTGAGAATAATCTGCAACAAGGTGATCAGGGCAAATGGCTGCATTAACAGTAATGCAAGTAAATGCTGTGAATAAAAATGGATATATCATCCCAGCTTCTGATTATTATGTCACTCAGACATATACTGAAGTTCAGTATCAATGGGCTATTTCAAAGGTTATCAAAACTTCATAGTGAATGTAAGTGTTCTGCTGAATCCCTAATCTTTTTTAGAAAAAAGACATCTGTGAAGGTTTCCAAGTTTTCAATTGTGCTCTATTTCTTGTTCTGAAACTCCAGACAAATGGTCTAGAGTATATTTACTCTATTTTAGTGATGGGGAAAAGAATTAGAGACAGAGACCTTCCAACACGCTTTTACTATTTTAGGTATTTCTATTCATTATTTCTTATACTCCTATTTTCAAAGAATAAAAAATTCCAGTCTTTTCAATTCTTCTTCTGATAAGTTGCTTATATGTTTTTGTGCTCATTACTATAATTCCTCTCTGAGTCCAGTTTTATTTCATATTATTCCATCTTTTTGCACAAGGTAAGAGCAAGGTGTTTCAGATACTGCAACTCCGAAACACCTCCTGGTACTGTGACTTTGCCTGCAATGTTTTCTATCTACTCCATTTGTCTGAGAACTCACCTTTCTGAAATGTGATTACCTATTAAATGGACATCTCTAGTGGGCTAGAAACTGAGTCCATCATTTCCTAAACTGCTCCTGCTAATATAAAACAGTAAGTGCAAAAGTAATTCAAGTTTCCTCTCCAACCGTCGAGAGTGTCTATATCTCTGGAAATCACTCTTCTGAGAAGATTCCTTGAATTTGAAAGGATAGCAGATAGGCTGTTTATGACAATTACATATTATCTTTTAAGGTACAGTAACCTTAAACTGTACTTACACTTTGGAGCAATTTCTGTTAACTACACTTTCTGTGTGCAAAATGCTCCACTGTGGTCAGAGAAGACCCTGGTGACACACACATCTCCTGACAAAGGTGTTTGGGATTGACTTGAGATTGAACAAATGTAAATTCTGTGTCATCAGAAGGATCCTTTGAATTTACACTGAGAGATAGGAAATGCCTCACATATTCTATTGCTCAATTCTTTTGTATGTTGTTCCATGAATTACTTCCTCAGAGAGTAATTACTGGCAGGAATCTAACTCCAAATTCCCATTATTATTTGAATGATGGCTATGGGTCGTACATTGTTCTGTACAAGGCTAAGAAATTTCCCCAAAAGTTTCCTTCGTAGTATGTTTAGCTAAAAAGTGTCACACAGGTGGACATGGGTTACGTGCTGCAATCTTGACTAAGTCAAAATTAAGCAAAATGAATCGTTGTCCCTGGACTAAGGGAGAGAGACAGGAGGCTTGAAATATTGAGCCAAACTTGAGTTTGGTAACAATATTAGTGAACCACTATGTATACATGTTAGACATTTTGGTTGACTACAGAATAAGGCTAAGCAATGATTACATTAGTTTCTTAGCTTTTAGGCAGATACTTTCAACAGAAATGGAAATCCATGGAAGCATATCTAACAATTTCTAAGTATATCACTGGAATTTAGGTCATACCTAAAGACAAATATTCAGCAAGAAAAGGAATGGATGATAGTTCATTAACTTCTTCATTTGAAATTCCTGAAGTCATGGAGTTGTTCTCCAGATGAGATACAATGAAAACATGCCAAATTCCTGAAAAAAATTAATCTTTTTCATACTTGCTATGCCAAAGCTGGAACTGAAAGATGACTGAAACTAAAAGCACACTGATATGTATTAGGAAGTGCAGCAGTTCAGCTTTACTGAGGTCATACTTAGTGCATATAGGACACATCCTAGAGGACTTCTTGCCATCCCAGTACTATAACTTCCCTGCAAGGTGTCCTTGCTAAACACCACCAGTTTTTCGAGTATCAGAGAGTAAAGATGGGTAAGATGAGACAAGCTTTGCCTATTGTAGCTCAGACAGATCAGCACACGCGTAGCAGCTGATGAACTGCAAAGAATCTTACCTGGCCTCGCCTGAGAACAGGGATGACTTCACTTACATTTTATTCTGAAGTGTACATATTATATTGAAGGGCAGAGTGGCATGGTTCATAAAGGAACAAATGGAAGGAGAACTAAATTGAAAGTTTTTGGGGGTTGGAGTTTGGATATAGATTTCAGTGGAGTTAGAAAATATCGAAGATGTGGGTACGTGGCTATTAGTGATGGTGGGAAGACAGCATTCCCTTTCCAATGACAGCTGTTGCATAGAAATATTCTTTCAATGGGAGTCTGATTCCTGGGAATGGGAAGAGAGGGGAACATCCTGAAGAAGTTGGTAATGAGATTGGGAATCTTAAATCTAGTGCTGTAAAGCAACAGCCTGCCTTCCTTAGGCTCTACAGGTGGTGGGAAAATGGCATTGCAGCAAAACCATGGCAAGGAGGCAGAATATTGAGGACAACCCTTCAAGAGAAAGCAATTAAGGAAGGACTTGTGAGAAGGATTTTTCAAATAATCTATGATCTGAGTGTCTTAGGTTAGCAAAATCTGATTAAACTGGAAATCTTTCATTGTTATATCACCCTGTATATCCAGAACATTTGTTATACTTTCCCTTGCTATCTCCTGTGAGTTTACAACTGCAGACACATATAAGAAAAATTGGAGAATATTAATTCCTTTATGTGTTTAGACCTGTAAAAACATTTGCTTACAGCCATTAGCCTTTCAGTTTGTCTTTTGTTCTTCCTCCCTTTATTACAATTTCTTCCAGAAACATTACCTGATTTTTACTGCTTTGCTGTGATCTCATAAATCTGATTGTTCTTTATTTTCTACGTTTCTGCTCTGGCAATAACATATTTTTTCCTGATGTGAAGTGTGCAACAATGTTTCTTTTTTTTTTTTTTTCTCTGGCATTACTCCTTCTTTGGTAAATGGATTGTAAAAAAACTATCATTTTCATTTCAGATGCCAGGAGTGAGTTGACAAAGACTTTCTGCATACCCTGCTGCTCTGCCTGGAAGGTAAAGAAAAAATAATCTTTTTGTACACCACATGAAGCAGGTGAAAGTCTTTGCAATCAGAAGGATGTGAAAACTTTGTGAAAATGGTTCTGTTTAATACTTTCCCATGGCAAAGGTTAGCTCCCACATATGCGTGCTGGTTGAATTATACATTTTCCTATTAAAGTGATATGCTTCAGAATGATTTTGTAGCTGATGATACCCAAGGAAATGTACAGTTTGTCACTGAATTTATTAGTGACGCATGCCATGGACCTAGGCTGGGTGCTGCATATCACAAAGTACAGAAAGCCATGCAGAGTCTGTTTGGAGGCTGTTTATTTCTAAGATGCAGGCATTTAAAAGAGTAGTAAAGGGCATATTATTATGCAGACTTTCAGGCATATTAAGTCTGGAGAAATATGATACAGATATATCAGTAGCAATCCACAAAGAGGTTATAGACAAGCCTTGTGCTAGACAATGTTGATTTTACAATATGGAAATAAAAATTGATTCTGTGAATGCTTAGAAGTAATATATGGAGTCTAGGAGGAAAGCTTGCTAAGTTGAAGTAAAAAAATAAAGAAATTGTTGCAACCATTTTGAATTTTGGGAGATAACGTGACCTTGTCATTCCTATACCTCTCTTACATCTGTCTGATAGGAACATGGAATTTCTCATTTAGTTCAGGAGCAGTCACTTATATTTTCTTCCTGACAAAACTGAAATGGAAGAAACCTTTTACCCATGGGCACCTCATTCTTATTAATTCTTGCTGATTTGTGTCAGCATCAGAAAATATATTGTCAACAATATTACCAAAAATAAATTCATGTAAAAGGTATTTAATTTCCCCCACCATATCGATGACTTCATGTGTGGTCTTTATGAATCAGAAAAGAAATCTAAATTCTTTATAAAGCAGAAGGGACCTCAGTTGTTTTTTTTTGTTTGTTTGTTTGTTTGTTTGTTTTAGATCAAATATATTGGGGTTTGGGGTTTTTTTAAAGGGTTTTCATTGTGAGGACCCCCAAGGGAATGGCATGAAGTTGTATCAGGGAAGGTTTAGGTTGGATATTAGAAAAATGTTGTTCACCCAGGGCGTGGTTGGGCACTGGAACAGTTTCCCCAGGGAAATGGTCACAACAACAAGCCTGACAGAATTCAAGAAGCATTAGGACAATACTCTCAGGCACATGGTGATTCCTGGGCTGTCATGTGCAGGGCCAGGATGTGGACTTTGATGATCTTAGTGGGTCCTTTCCAACTCAGAATGTTCTGTGATTCTGTGATATTCAAAATTACAGATTGGTTAAGTTAATTAAAACAATTCTCAAAAACCATCACTTTAAAAATATTGTCAAAGCCGAGTTCTTTCATATGAAAAATAGTTTATATATTGATTAGCTACTTCCTCACTGACTTGGGCAATTTCACTGAAATAAAACTCAGAGTAGGAGGGTAATACCTGCCATGAAACAAATTTGTATGTGAGGTGAATGAAGGTGAGAACTGCCCTTAAATCACACACATACACACACACGCACACACACACACACACACATACACAAAAAAGGTGAGACTGAGAGCTGGCAAGAACCAAATGAGCTAGGAAATCAAAAGACATGAGCTTCACAAGGGCTCTTCAGATTTCACAGTGACCCAGACTTTGAATGCCTCATAACCTATAAACAGAGGAATGTGAGAACAAGAGTTATCTCCCTCCTTTAGTCTCCTACATAAACTACTTGAATTACATAAAAAATACCTAATGTATTTATTGCATAATAAAAATACTTAATCTCACTATTTGAACAAAAGCTAATTGAACAAAAAAAAAATCTACTTGACAAAAACCAATACTACCTACTTAGCAACAAATGGAATAAAAACAAAGGAACTGAACATGAGAGTTACTGCCTCAGACCTGTTTCTTGAGATGGGGGTTGGATTATGACTGTTTCCTGGAACAGAACACATAGCGGGCTTGACTCAAAAGTGCCTTCCCAGCTCTGGAATGATTTCTGACATTTTGAAATAGCTATCACAGCGTATCATAAGCAACGGTTTATTGCTGTCAGAATCCACACTGGAAAAATAGATGCTTTATAGCTTCTGCTGCTCCATAAAGAGAAGCATCTGAGTGGGGATGTAATTAAATGTTTGGCATCTCAAGCGCTATGTGCAATGTTAATCTGAGCAGGTAAATCAGCTCAGCGTCAATAATAGTGTAGAGGGCATGCACTACAAGAATATACACAAAAAACTACAAAAACAAGAAAGCGCATCCTTTTGCAAGCACTGAATAATAATCATCAAAATGGACTCTACAAGGACAGGTTACTGACACAAAATGAAAGCAACCGTAAAGCGCACACTCCCCCAGAAAACCAGCAGAATGGAGATTAGAGAAATTGCTTCTGCTTTCCTATTCCCAAACTTCTTAGGTATTAGTACTTCATAAAACAGTTCCTTAGCTCTTTCCACATGATTAAATTCCGGTTATCTCAGTGCAGCAGGATAATTGTATGCAGATCTGCAAGAATTTAACATTGTTATCTCCTTTTAAATCTTTAATACCGCTAAACTACTTTCCTTTAAAAAAAACCAAAAAATTGTAATGAAATTGTTTAGTTGGGTCTTCATATTTAAGTTGTGTTATTGCTTGCTTTGGCAACAGAAATGAAATGTTTTGCTGGAAACATTGACAGATTACCAAAATGAAGGCCCTTATGGTTTTTAAAGATTTCCAGAGAGCTGAAAAATTCAATTAAAACTTTATGATATCATTTGTTTATACAATATATATGACAGTATCAAAGCCTTAGATCTGGTCTTTCTAGTATAAGATTTAAACTTACATAAATGATTATTTAATATATTTTCTTCATAAATCTATCTGATCTGTTGACTTGGTTTGTGCATTACCCGGGGGAGGAATAGGAAGTCAGGACATGAACTCCACATTTTAGGGTATCAGGAACTATATCCAGGAACTATAATTGATTCTATGAGATCTCAATGAAACTAAAGCTGAGCTTCAGGTATTCCCCTCATATGTATCCAGATATTTATCCCTTTCCAGATATCTAGCTCACTCTGATTTCTACGACATCAAAAAGGAAAGGTGACAAGGATGTTGCATCATGACCTGCAACATCCCATAGGATGGGATGCCACATCTTATTTACTCACAAAGTATTCTGGGACCCACAAGGATCATCAAATCCAGCTCTTAAGTGAATGGCCTCTATGGGGATCAAACCCATAACCTTGGCATTATTAGCGCCATTATTAGCTCTAACCAACTGAGCTAGTCTCACTCTTTCCAGTCAGGAAGATATAGATGAGGCACCAACTCCTTTGGCATCATGTATTTAAGAACTTAAGGTCCTTACTCAACTAACACAGAAAGGTAGGTGCCCCCTTCACTCACCTGCAGGTATGATCCAGAGGGTATCTACTTTAGCAACTCAGAGGAAAATCTCTGCACACAAGTGGAGATGCTGAGTTGAACCCATGGATGTACTCCATCTTGTGAAGTCAAACCACAGAGATGCTCACGTTTACCTGCAGGATCTATTGCTTTAAGTAAATTTCCCTATTGTCACAGCTGGGCAAGTCTTGAAGTGATGTTTCCTTGCAGTTTGATATTGGGTACAAAATCAAGAGAAAGAAACCTCAACTTCTCATTCCAAAGATCTGTACAACTGGCTGCTTGTCAGATGACATTCTGGGTCCGTTCAGCTTCTCAATTCTTCTGATCTACCCCTTCTTCCAAGGCAGCAAAATATGCAATAATTTGGGCAATTTTAATTTTTTTTCCCTGACTATTTTTATGGTAAGATATTTCCCTAAGTTTTGTATTTTCTTAGCAAACATTCAATATTTTTAAGTAAAATTTACTGGGGAAAATGCTGTACTTTCTTTTCAGCTACATTTCTTTCCTTTTCTTGTGCATTGCTACCCTGCAAGATTCTACTTCCTTGCACATAGAAACACAAATACTTGTGTAGTCTCGATGGCAAAGTATTTGGAAGATGGTAAGGTGTTTAAAAAGTGAAATGTGAGCACTTTGGGAAAAGAGTTTTCTGCTTTATCAACCTGAAAGTGAAGATTGCTGCTTGAATCATGAAGCTCTACAAAAACATGAAAAACAACCCCTCAAATCTTTAGAGATAGTCAAACATATGCACAAAGAGAAAGCATAGATTTCAAATTCACAACTTCTTTAGTATTTTTTACATTATTTTGACTAATAAAATAGCTCTCTCAAAAGAGATTGAAGCTTTCTGCCATATCTAATCCATGTTTTATCCAAGAAACCGCTATCCTAAGCATATTTGAGTAAAACTTTTTATACCTGTTACCTGTTTTTAAACTCAAAAGTTTTTTTTAAATTACATGAGCAAAGTAATTATCTCAGTCCTTAGCCACAATCTGTTTCCACCCTCAAAAGGTCTTCTGATGGTATATTTGTACTGCAGCTATAGTGTTGTCTTCAGCTATTTTGAGGTTTTATGTGACCACACATCACTTCTGTTGCTCAGCACATTTTCCCTAACGTGGATAACCATTGATGGTAAAAAAGAATTATTTTGGCAGTGTTAATTTATAGGACTACCAATATTCTATGATCTAAGTTTTTCTGGAGCAGTAGGGTCCTACATGGCAGGAGTCTCTTTTATATATGATGAATAGACATGGTATAAGGAAAAGTATCAGCTTCTCGTGGTTAACACTAGGCGCAGTCACCTGTTTTCTACTATGATGCATTTTCCCTCTATGTGTTTTTAGCTTCCATGCATTCATTTTGCCTCACAGCTGAAAATTAGATACTGCAGGTCTCAGATGATGTACTAATTGGTCACTAATTTGAAGTATGAAATTAATAATATTCACAATTGTAGTCAGAAAAGGGGACCAATTTTGGAATATACCTATTTTTTTCAGATAGGATTTAGTTAGAATGGCAGAAATTATCAATAATTATTTATACTCCATGATTGTAA